CAAGGAGCTGCTCGACAAGTCCCAACATGCTGGGGAGGGGGGTGGGGGGGTGATGGGAAGAATGATGTGTGTTTTACTCAGTCCTATAACAGTAACGGCACATGGCGGAGAAACAATTCCCATATCAGATAAATTACACTATAAAAAACATGACTTCCGTCATTTCAGTAAATACTCTCATTCACTTTCTTACAGAGGGTTAGATTGTTACCACATTGTCAACTTAATAGCATGAAGGCCGGAAACATGGAGAAGCAGCAAGCCGTTTGTAGTTTAGTAGTTGTAATTTTTACACTTTTTGATCAGACTGAACAAAGAAGACACAACGGAATAGTTAGTGAGCTTTTGTGATCAAATTTCCACATGTATGGTCTGTAGGGACAAAATAATCCCAGACAAACTGCAGGAAATTACCTTGAAATGCAACATTTTATGGTCCATCATGTTTTGCTCAAGTTACAGGGATCTGAACTGGGGCCAAAACCTCTAATCTTAAAAGGATGTCATGTCCAATTAAAATGTCCAATTAACGAGCAACCAGTGTTTCCCTGTGACTTTGTTTACCAGCCCTGGTTTGCTTGTAATTGTGCAACATGAACATAAACAAATCAACCCCCCCACACACACACACACACACACACACACACACACACACACATGCACTTCTCCTCATTTGATTCTGACTGAAGAAAACATGAGTGTTTGTACGCTGAGATAAAATCCATTTACATGCATATTCAGTGCCTGTTTTGAAAAAATAAGCATGCAAAGGCACATATTGTCCATGGAAGAGGCCCATTGGAAGTGTCTTTTTGAATACCGGGTGCAAATATAATCCATCTGAAAGAAAGGTGGAAACACTCTGCGAAGGAGGCACATGTTAAGATGATTGTGTATTTGACTTTCGCGTACTTTTAAGATTAATATCAAAGCACTCGGCGGTGCACTGACGGCCAGCTGCTCTGTAGACAAGCTGTCTGTCTCTGTTTGTTTAATTGGTTGTTTAGGAGGAATTTTAACTGAATTCCAGTTGGAATTCTTCTAAATTGAATTGCGGCCGGGGCTGCAGAAGGCAGCGCAGCAGCAGACGGAGGGAGGGAGGGATAAAGGAGGAAAATGGTTTGGCTCTGGAGCCTTACAACAAGCTTGAACAGGAAGTCATTCGAAGTGAAACACACACCCAGAACAAAAACAGCCACACACATAAGCACACGTGTGTACACAGGCCGAAACGCAGAAGAAAGACACTCAATCTGGAATGCATTCCTCCACCTCCTCCCCCTGCATGAGTCAGTGTGTGTGTGTGTGTGTGTGTGTGTGTGTGTGTGTGTGTGTGTGTGTGTGTGTGTGTGCGCCTACAGTAGAGTAATTGTAGGTTTAATCCAGATTATTTCAAATTAAAAAGTAGACGACAGCAGCAGCTCAGTAACAGATGAGTGTAGTGACTGAAAAGTAAAGAAAGAAAAAAGGACAGTCTACAGGATGAAGGGCTGTGAGGAAAAGAGAGAGAACAGAAGATGAAGGAATCAGCCATGAAGAGGGAGGACATAGAGGGCAAGACGGTGAAAAGAGAGGGATGGGGTCAAATGTTTCATGTAAACAAAGTGCACTGCCCTCAGGCACTTTCTGTGTGTGTGTGTGTGTGTGTGTGTGTGTGTGTGTGTGTGTGTGTGTGTGTGTGTGTGTGTGTGTCCCAATCCTTTTTACACTTTGCTAAGTCCTTAAAGGAATACACCACGTTTCTGGGACAGTGGCCCATTGGTCATCCTCCCTGTTAGAACACAGACAGACACTAAAATAAACCATGTGTCCCTAGTGGACCATTACTTCTGAGCTCCATGTGAAAACCTTGGAAACACTGCTTTGAGATGAGCACAACCTATTTATCGTACATCCAGGTAATCAATCCATCTTACATATTCACCTTAATAAATTTTAAGCAACTCACTGCTAGAAACAAAACTAATTGCTACTAGTAGTAAATTTATTTCTGTACAACAGAGCCAGATTGAGTCATGCTTTAGTTGAAATGCACGACCTTCAGTTTCCCCAGAGTTGGTTCTGAACTTGTAAAAAACATTGGAAACACTGCCTTCATACCAGACATTCAAATTCCATATTAAGAAAAGGTTTCATGAATAATTTTACTGTGTTAATGCTCTATACCTCTAAGGTTGTATGCTGTTATGCTATAGGTATGTGAGAAAGTTGAATTTTTACAATTTTAATCTGCGTTAACCATCCTCCACTTTGGGCAAGTTTCTTTTGTAAAAGAAAGTGTTTTTCTGGTTAAATAAGGGCTAAAGTGCAATGTAAATTATGCACCTACTATACAAGTCATTAATGATTTAATTTTGAGATACAATTATGACAAAACTGAGCAAATAAAGTGATCATCCAGAAGACTGACGGTCTTCCCTTGTAGACAGCCTCACCTTTAAACTCAGTTTATATTATGAATCTGGCAAGAAATTAGCTGGATTGCATTATGGAACAAAACAGCAAAATGCATGGTTTCTGACAAGTACAGGTCAAATAAAGGCACCTAGAAACAGGAGTATTAGAGGATGTGAAGTCTGTCTCACTAGACAGGATTACTACTGCATGTTGCTAGGATAACTGCACTGTGGGACTGCCACTTGATTGATTCATCAATCAATAGTTTAGTTCATATAACTTGCAAAAGAAAATTGCAAAGCAAACAGTCTCCCGGCACAGCTCAAGCCGCCATCTTCAAGTCACTCGTTTTGTGTCTGACTCATAGTCCAACACTCAAAACATATTGTATTGATAGAGAACAGAATAGAGAACAGAGAAAAGCATCACATCCTCACATTTGTGAAGCTGGAACCAGAGAACGTTTAGCATTTTACCTTGATAAATAACTTAATATTACATAAGTTTTCTGTGGGTCGACAATCCAAAAACTGACTTATAGAAGATGCCGGAGTCCCGATGACAACAAATTACTAACTGAAGTAGTGCTTTGGCATTTATTTAGTCACAAATTAGAGGACTGCCAACTGAACACCACATTCACAATATGGATTTGCCAGAAAATGCAATGTGGCCTTATGGGACAAAACAGAAGAATAAAGAGTCAGTGGGCTTTTCGTAAATTCAGGCCAGGCAGATGTTTTTGCAACAAATACAATCAAAATATATGGGAGATTTCATGAACCAGGATTAGAAAATATGATGAATAACTGCACTGAGTATAGATGCTGGAACAGCTCTTTTTATACAAGTAAACAAATCATTTCAAAAGGTGTTCTGGGTTTTGCTCAGCTTTACGCTTCCCACTCTTTTTAATCCTGAATCGGAGACAGTGCCTATAGATTTAATTTGAGGAATAGAAACGCCAAGTGATTGGAGATCAAATTTGTACCATCTCAGTCATGGCCTCATTTTATGATACTGGTGACAGAGCATCTTTGACATGTAGTCCCCAAATACTCTCATTTTTCTTGTTTCTCATCTCCCCCCACATCACTCCTCTCTGAGAAGTATGTCTCCCTCTCTTTCTCTCTCTCCATTCATTCTGCATATTTCATTTGTTGATTTTAGTGGGAAACAGCAAATAGAGCAGACGAAAGATAGACAAGGAGAAGGCATGCACATGTTGTTGTGTGTTCACACACTTAATCACCAGCATAACCATTTCCTGGGAATTCCCTTTGAGAGACAGAGAGAGTTTGTGTGTGTGTGTGAGAGGGAGCAAAAGAAAGGAAATCAAGAGGACATGGGAGTCACTGTTTGCGTGACAAGACCCTTATTCGTTCAGAGGCCAGACACACACGCGCACACACACGCATCATGTCATCATTACAATGTGTGTGGAGCTCTGTTGCTAATAAATTGTTTTACTTTCTTACTTTACAATTGTTGCACTTGTGTTATCCATTTTTCTATGAATGTGTGTCAACACCTGACATCATATCCAATAACCGCCTTATTGGAACTATGGACTTGCAATGACCCACACACACATAGACATTTGCATAAAACTGTATTGCAAATACAAGGCAGAGCTTTCCAATGAAAGATACAGGCCTGCAGTTAAGAGCCACATCATTCAGCAGCTCAGTTAATCATTGCTGGCTGTTCAGACACATGGACACACACACTGCTCCTTTCTTTATGTAGAAGATTGCAGAATGGCCCTACACTCTGTCTCAGAAAGCCCAACACACATACACACCCACCTACACACACACACACACACACACACACACACACACACAGGCTAGATAACACATAGCCTTAATCTTATGGTCTATGACACGGGCAGGCGCATGTCAGGATTGCCAAACGCTGCTACACAAATATGCGGAAGGAAAAATAGGGCAGGAATTCAAACCTTTGTGTTGACGCGCTTTAAAGCGCCATAGAAACAAAATGTACAATACACTTGTTAATTAAGTTTCAACAAAATCATTAACATTTCAAGACATTTCAGAGTATGATTTGCTGCTGCACTCAATACTCCCACTCCCCTCAAAGAGACGCACCTTCTATATAGCCCGCGGACTGTCACTCAGACAGGTGTTTTCTCCCCTAACCCGCTGCGGGGGAGGGGGGTGTCTAAACAAGAGAAAGAGAAAGAAATAGCAGTAGAAAAGAGGGCGTCTGTGAACTGAACCCGAGCCCGAGGAAAACCGGCTTGACAAGAATTCAACACAACACAGATTCAAGCCCTGCTCACCGATGGAAAATGTTCTGAAGTAGCCAATCTGATCAACACACACTCTGGCATACAGTGGACTTCTGTGATCCACAGGCGTGCACACACCTGCACCCCTACCTACACACACACTACCTTGTCAGTATCTTTCACACATGAGTCTCGTGTGCCACTTCATTGTCCTGTCCAGTCTCTTGTCTTTCAGTCAAAGTTGATCGCATCAGAAGCACTTCAGTCTGTTTCATTTCACGTTAGGACTTTAACAGCGACACATGTCTGAAGTGCTGTCAGCACATTTCACACACGTCATTCTCACCTCGTCCCATTTGATGAATTTGCCCCCCTTCTTCAACGCTTCGTGGACGGACACGGGTTTGAGCTGCAGCGCGTGGACTCCCGGCTTGGCCCCGGCCATGGCGAGGGACTCCCTGCCCGGGTGCCAACGCCTAAACCCCGGCTACGGCGAGCTGGACTCCTCGGAAGGAACAAAAAAAACGCTCTTCCTTCCTCCACTTCCACCCCGGAGCTTCTTTTTTCTTTTCCGGAGAGAAAGTTAATTGAACGGAGGAGAGGAGGTGAAGCTTTTCTGAGACTGATCTTAAAAGTTAGTGAGCACCGAGAGTTTGAAGAACATGAGGAGTAAAAGCCCGAGAAAGACAAGAACTTGGCTGTTACAGCGCTTTCCGCCGCTGTCTTGTCCGTGACCACGCAACGCGGTGGCGCGCCTCAGATCTGCTTTTTTATTATAGGCTTTGATGCATATACTTGTTTATTTATGCAGAATCCTTTAATCGCGCACTTGAGCCCGCGGAGAGATCCTTTACTTCCTTCCTCCCATCTGGCCGACCCTTCTCCTCTCCTCTCGCTCCTCTACCAACTTTCTCTGCTTCCTCTCTCTTGTCGCCTCCAACGCGTTTCTTCTTTTCTCCTCCTCTCCTCCCTGCATGTTTTCGGGGGTGGGGGGGGGGGGCGATTCCGAGAGGAGAGAACGAGTGAGGGAGAAAGACAGCGTCAGATAGCGCTTAGGGAATGACAAATGAGAGAGGAGGGGGGCAGTCGGCGTTTGTGTAAAAGGGGTGTGCTTTAATTCAGTTCCTCTGCCTGCCAGCTGCATGTCTACTAAAAGTGACTCTATGCACACATTCATGGGAACATGATAGTGTATTTGCGTTCATTTTCTGAAATAATAGAGATTTTTGTGGTGATCATTGCCAAAAGTTTACACACTTGTTATGTTTACTTCATCTCTACTTTCAAATGTCTCCCAGAATGCAGTCAGATTGTCAGCTGGAACTTAAAGGTGTACTCCAGTGATTTAATATTGCACTTGCATAAAGTAGCATTTGGGCTTGGCACATTTTTAAAAGAATCGCCTAAATCAAAGCAGCCTTGACTGAGAAATCCTGACTGTTGCTCCCTAAAATGAAGTCACACTTCAAAAATGCTGGTTCCTACACTTCCCACAATTCAACTCAAACGTGTCTTTGGTGAAATGAAACACTTTGTTGTACCACATTCTGATAAAAATGTGTACTCTCCCAGCCCAAGCATAGATAACACTGGTGACATTAGTTTTTGTTTTCAGCTGTGGAAAGCTTCACTGGAGCCACAGAGAACATTATACAACTGTTTCCACAGACAATGTGTTGCTTCCCGTGATGATATCTTGTCCTTGATGTGAAAAATCACTCTTCTCAAAGCTATTGTCAGGGAGGATAAGGGGCCACAAGAAGATGCTTCTTTGTTTTAAAGGAGTAGTTTGACATTTTGGCCAACACGCAATATTCATTTTCTTGGCAAGAAATAGGTAAGATAAATACCACTCTCATGTCTGTATACATATAATATATGTATATATATAACAGCCAGCAGCTCGTTATCTTAGCTTATAGCATAAAACCTGGACGCAGGAGGAGACAGCTTGCCTGGATTATACTTAGTTTAAAAGGAAAGCGCTGAATCAGCTCCTGAAAAGCAATTTAAGATGTGACATGTAGTGGAGTAAAAAGCACAGCATTTCTCTCTGTAATGTAGTGTAGCAGCAGAATGAAGGAGCATAAAATGAAACTACTCAAGTAAAATACAAAACACCTCAAAAGTGCACTGAAGTACAGTACTTAGCTTCATTCCGCCACTGCTTATTCACTTTCTTGCTGAGGCTCAGATGAGAAAATCAACACCACTCTCAGATAGTTCACTCTCCTACTGTAAATATGAAGCTACAGCCAGCAGCCGGTTAGCTTAGCTTAGCACAAGGTAACAAAATCCAGTTTTTGCACTAAGCTAAACTGTTTTCTCGCTGTAGCTTCACGTTTAGTGTATAAACATTGGACCGGTATTGATCTTGTGATCTGTATCTTGGCAAGAAAGCAAATAAGTGTATTTCTCAACATATAAAACTGCTCTTTTGAGGGGCCACAAGTCAAACATGTGGGCATAAATAATGTAATCCATCTCAGTTTAATATCATACATGCCTGTAGAAATACTAGAGTAAATTTCCTGTTTGCTGTACTTCACTGCAGGGAGCAAATGAGGGCTTTTTTTAAATTCTTCAAATTACCTGTGACTTTAATTGCTTTAAATTATTTTCCTTGGTGTGTTGACAGTGACAGATCACTTGTGCAGCCAGTAAAATAATTAAAAACATGGTAGCGGTTATCTCATTCATTGGAAATACACAGTAATTAACTTGTAGCAACAGGGGAGAAGGGGATGATGTATCTCAGGGAGTAAGATTGTGAGATTAAGGATATATTTTATAAATGATGATATTATCTCTGCATTATGTAAACAGGAAATCATTTGGAGGTAAGGAAATTTAAGCCACTGAAAGTCATCAGGTAACTTTCCCCTGCCTCCTCTGGATCAGTGGCAGCATATCATGTTTTTAGGACTGTGAGAGCAAGGGAGGCTGCACAGCTACAGTCCTATCTCATCCAAATCCCGCAGCCAAGCAACATTACAACTTGGACTCCTCATTAAATAAAGCTACGGAGCAACAGATTTTTTGGCAATCGCTGCCATTCTCCAACTCCCTAACTACACCCGGCAGGAATGTCTGCTATGCTGCAGCCTGCTGACTTAGTGACTGACTGGTGGGGTTTTTTTCCTTAACCAAAACCATAGCAAGGAAGAGGAAATCCAAAGAAAATGCACAAGAATCAATCAGATCTATCATAAACACACAATTCCATATTTGTGTGGAGAAACTGCTGGTGTGTTACCTGACCCTGAGGAGGTACACAAACCAGAGGGAGATACATTGTTTAACAATTCAACAGCTAGACAGATTGGCATTGTGTGTGTGTGTGTGTGCGTGTGTGCATGTGTATGTGTGTGTGTGTGCAAACACAAGATGGACACATGCATATGCATTGTTTCAGCAGCCCAGCACACATGCATAAGCAGGGATATTTTGTTTCTCTGGTACATAATAAAATGCACACACTCTCTCGTGTGCATAAACGCAAATTAACTTCTTTTTAGCCCAACAATGTTGTATTAAACGCTGTTTTTGAAGTGCAGGCACCTGCTGTGTCAATAGACCGCCTCCTTGCTCCAGTCACCTCTCTCTCTCTCTCTTTCTTCTTGCTCTCTCGCTATGTTTTTACAAATACATTCTCTCTTTAGGCCTCTCTGTTACAGTTAAAAACACTTCCTCTCACCTCCGCTGCTTTTGCCCTGTCTCCTGCTCTCTCCTTCCAACAGGTGTTCTTCTCCCAATTGGTCAGTGGAGATTGTATGCATGGTCAACTTCATATGTCAACATAATGGTTTGGCTTTGTAGTATATTTCTGACGACAGTCCAATTAGGTTACTCATGTTTACATAAGGTGATTTTCTAAGGTTGCTTTGGTCCTGCTGTCTGGAACAAAGTGTCGTATGACCTGAGATCTATCATGTACATACCAGCGTTTTAGCTGCGTTTTGGAGTTGATCTCCGTCTACATTAAAACGATTGAAAATGCACATCTATTCGCCGTTCAGGTACACTGGGCATGCGCATGCCAGTGTAAACATGAAGCAGGTAGTCTCTTCCTGGTTACAGAAGATTTGACGAAAGAAAAAATAAATACAGACGAAGAAGGTTTTTGCATGCACCAATAAGGAGCTGGGACTGTTACTGAATGTAACACAGGACTGTGGCTTCAGAAAACAGACAGTACAAGTGTAGGCAGATAAGTGTTATTTGCACGGTACATAATATTTTAATAAAAATACCCGGTCAGTAGCATCATGTTTCTGCTTTGCGTGACTTCTAAGACCCAATCAGAGAGCTGAGCGTGAGCGGCTGCGTCATTGTTTCTAAAGTCCTCCGTTTTGGCCTGTCTTCACTAAAACGGCCTCCTGAGTTTTGAAACGCAAAATGGGGTCGGCAGCGTTTCCAAACTTCTCCGTTTTAAGCCTTCGTTTTCGCCTTTGTAGTCTGGTCGGGAGGTGCAAACGTAGCAAAAGGTCTCCGTTTTAATTCAAAAACGCAGTAGTGTGAATGGGGCCTCAGTGGCATGTCTTCACAACTGTGGATACACATACATAAACACATTCATGATCCCCTGTAGATGAACCCTAAATACTTTTCAAAAAATTTTCCTCAGCAGCAGGTCAGAGTTTTCCCTTAATCTGGGAAAAACCTCAACATCCACTTGATGGATCTGTAAACATTTTTATAATGAAATCCACAGATGAAGTTTCATCTAATCAAATTTTAAATTTGTCCAATACTTTGGTTATTAATGACTACCTGCAAAATGAATGCCATTCCCAACAGCATCAGATGTACAGTACTTTAGAGAGTATAATGTTTACCATCTTAGTTTAGCATGTTACCATGCTAACATTTGCTAATTAGCACTAAACACAGACATCAGCATGTTAGCATTGTCATCAGGAGCATGTTAGCATGCTGACATTAGCATGTAGCTTAAAGCACCGCTGTGCCTCACATTCTCACAGAGGCGCTTGCATTGCATTACACATGTTACTATTGATAGCATTTCAATGTGAAGCACCTTTAATGAAATGTGTAAATATAAATATGTCATATAATTATATTTCTCACACAACTGTGGACTCCTTATGAGCCCCCTCCGTAGGACCACCAGGTGTATAAAGTGTATCATTTCATAAAAGAGACACAGGGGAAAGTAATAGATTTAAAGGGAGAGTAAGTGATTCTGCAGGATTGTTGACATTTGAATCCCAATGCCAAACAAATACACCCCTCCCTTCAGTGCTCCCTCAGAAGCTCCGCCCCCCGTATTTCAACTATGAGGTTTCTCCAGCGTTGAAACGCCTTCAACCTTGCCTGATCATATAACTTTCTTCTCTGTTTATACTCGTCAGACATTTTCCTCTTTCGCAGTATCTCAGCCATCTCTCCTTCTTCATAATGCCTAAAGTCTAGGACATTCAAATGTGCCAGTATAATTTACTCATCACTCCTGTGCACAAGCACTAACGCCACTTGTTGCTGATTGGCTGGAACAATGTTGTGGGCAAGGTCCACACAGCTTTCTTTGTTTTCCATTTACAGAGCCTGGGATGTGTAGGAAAATAAGATTTTTTTTCAAAGCATACACAAAACAGAGAGCAGTGAAGGAAATGTTCGCTGAATTTCACAAAAAAAGTGTTTTGGATTACAATCACTTACTATCCCTTTAAGGGTAAATAAGGGTGAACGAAAGGGTTAAAGATACTTTACTTTCATGGGAAATATAACTGACACGAGTTGGGGATCTAATCATGTTCAGGCATTTACTTTTTGTGTTTCAAAAGGAAGCCAATATATTTAGTCTTTAGTATTCTCAATTTCACCTACAGTGAAATTCAAGTGTTGGAGAGAAGGAAAGCAGGTATGAAAGAATAAAAGAGTGAAAGAAGAGGTAATTGGAAAAAGGAAGGGGGCGATTTTGGAATGAGTGCAGGCTGTCAGAAAAAGGAGGAGAGCTCATAACGGACCGTTAATAAAGAGGGTTATGAAAAGAGACAAAAGGGGGACAACAGAGAGTAAAAATGGAACAAAGTGAGGGACAGAGACACATGGAAAAGATGTTATGGAGAAATATGGACTACCTCTCTCTCTCTCTCTCTCTCTCTCTCTCTCTCTCTAGTAACAGTCAGATCTTTCTCTCCAATGCAAAGCCAAAGACTCACAAAGACACATTGTCCAAAGACACACAGGCATGTTCAGTGTCTCTCTACACACTGCCCACTCTCCACACACACACAAACACAAACACACACAGGCATGTACCGTACACACACTAGCTTTAATAAGAAAAGCCTGACTTAGTCAACAGTAGCAATAAAAAACTTGATTAGATTACTTTCTACAGAGTTCTGGCCTGAAGTAGCTGACAGTTCACTGGAGACTGGACCCATCTGTCTCCATAACCATACAGGGTTATTGTAGTTGTGTTTTGGAGAAAAGCTAGCATGTGGGCGTGTGACTGAGCAAAGTGCTGATTACAGTTTTCCCCAGAAGAGGCATTGTGCCGGTGCAGATGGATACTACCAAGAACTTTCATGATAGTACCCTTCATTACAGGTCAAATTAGTTTAGCTCCAGCTGTTAATCTCTCCCCCTGAGGCCTCAAACTACTCCACATGGGGGGAATGAACCCAAAGTTTTTACTCTTTCACATTTTCCCTGTGGCCATAGGGTTGCAATTATAAATCTATACTGCCATCTAGTGGCTGCATGGAAACGCCGCCCACTTCCCCTCCCTCTGTGCAGCGCTGCCTGGATTGTGCAACAGTAAGGAATGTGGATGCACCAGTTTAGGCCATGCTTGTATATATATGTCCTGTGCTGTGACAATACAGACTGTAGCCTACCACCTGTGTATGTGTATGTGCACACCTCTCAGTCACAGCAATCTGTGTTAAGTGTGAGTATATTTGCACATGTGAACCAGTAAATGTTTCTGTGTGCACTACATACAGTTTATGTAACATAGGCTAAAGCAAGAGTCTGGCACACCACTGAGAGACACTGATCTGGATTCCATTCATCAGAATAATTGTGATAAATTTGAAACCTCAGAATATAATACAAAGTTGACTTCAAAGGATTTTACAATACCTTTCAATGGTTACTTTGTGTGTTTATTTGTTTCATCCATTATGTTATTTGTCAATGAAAATAAATCCACTGGTGTAGCTCTAGGAGTGTTTGTCTGACTTAGTTAGTAGGTCTCCAGTTGTTTCGGTTAGGGTTTGGAAAGGGAGAGAGAAAAAAGAATGTATCTATAAAGATAAAGTGTGACTATGACTACTGTGAAAATGGTAAGAAACAGAGGACTGAGGACTCAGTGGAAACAGCTCAACAGTTCCCGCCTGTGGGCAGTTCTCCAAAAGTACCTCTGACAGTCCATGCAATAATAGGTGAAGGCCACGCTTGACATGTCATGAATGTCATGCTTGACATTGTCAACCAGCTGCATGTGAGCTGCATGTGGTGAAAATACTGTACGCTCACAATGAAGAGGAAGAAGTCAGGGCTGGGAGTAGACCACCGAAAACATGTCTTCCTCTAATGTCCTTACTGTACACGTCTTTGCAGAGCTCAGCTTGCCTGGCAGTGGTTAAAAGCAAGTATGTAAATTTACTCTAGTACTGTAGGCTACTTAAACACTTGAGTACTTTTCTTGTTTCTATTTCATGCCACTTTATACTTTTACTCCACTACTTTTAGAGGAAAATATTGTACTTTTTACTCCTCTACATTTATTTGACAACTTTAGAGACCAGTTACTCTGCAGATTAAAATGGTGCATGAGTGCCACCTTGACCAACTACAACAGTAAAATGCTGCTTACACATAAATGCATCAGTAATGACAATTCAATACTCACAGAAGGTAAATGAGTACTTTTACATGAGTGGTGGAATGTAACAAGTATATTTACTTGAGTCCTGCACTTAAGTACAGATTTGAGCTACCTGTACTTTACTTGAGTATTTTCATTTCATGCTACTTTATACTTTGTACTTCTACTCCATTACAATTATGATGGAAATGTTGTACTTTTTACAGCAATATATTTATTGGACAACTATAGAGTTACCTTTTAGAATTAAGATTTTAAATTAAAAAAACATTTGCTAAGCTTAGATAATACTAAGCACGGTTAAAGATTAGGCCAGTGGGTCCCCAACCCTTTTGGCCTGTGAACCCTTACAGAAAAAACAGTGTCTAGTTGGAGCCAATTGTCTTGTTTCAAGTGACTATTATTCTTTTAAATCCAATTCAAGTGTCTTTATTTGATGTCTATTGTTTCTTTTAAATCATGTCTTAAGGCCATTTAAGTCTTTTGTAAAGCACTTTGAATTGCCTTGTTGTCAAAAGGTGCTATACAAATAAAGTTGCCTTGCCTTACCTATAGTTGTTGGCAGTTCCACCAAGGAGAGATTAGCCCTTCAGATGATCCATTAAATGGCCGACCCTTAGCTTGTGTAACACTGGACTAAACTACCTAACTGAATATAAAAAATAGTGGCAACTGGCTCCACCTTGATCAGCTACAGCAGTAAAATGCAGCTTAAACATTGATGTATTCGTATTAATAACCTACTAATGCCACACGTAATAATATATAATTTACAGTCACAGGGGCCATGTTACTGCAGAACATTTACTGGTGATACTTTGAGTACACTGTGCAGGAAATAATTCTGTAATTTTGGTTGAGTAGGATTTTGAACACAGGACATTTTCTTGTAATGGAGTATTTTTACATTGTTGAACTGGCACTTTTACTTAAGTAAAGTATCTGAATACTCCATCCATCACTTCATACTATATAAACTGGCCATGTACATGTTCACTCTCCTCACAGGCCACCACACTTTCAACATTGCATGCTAACATCTTACTGACAGCCCTCTCCGGGGGTCTGTGTCTGTCTGGCACCAAGCCCAAAGTCCCAAATATCCCTGACAGGTGAATATAAGTCCACTTAGCTGGTGCATTGGTGTATATGCACACTAGTTTGCATATGTACTGTATTATTTCACCTGGTGACACACTTAGTTTGTGCACAATAGTGCTTTTGTGTGACAGTGACTGCATGGCTGCTGTATGTGTGTTGTGTATTTTATTATGCAAGCACATGTGTATGTTTATGTTACTGTGTGTGTTGGTGTTTCTGTGCTTACTCGACTGTAAGTTTCAGACATGCTCACTGAATAATTCAGGTTTTTATGTCTTGTTGCCATGGCTGTCTGCAAAGTTGCTGCTTGGGCCGGTACGACACACACACACACACACACTGATATGAGCATGTTGACAGATGTGAACACCCCCATGCACGCTCCAAAGGAGGCAGACATTATGAATTCGCTCTGCCTCTCTTTACCTCCCCCTTCACTTCACACTCCTATTATTATTAAAACTCTTGTTATTAACCAGCCTAGCCAGGGTGTGGGGTTCCCTGCTGTTTTAACACAATGGGCAGACTGTGAAAAAATTTGACTGGTTTCCTGTTAATGGAACACCTCCAGTGTTCTTATCAATTCACTGAAATTCAGTGGGGCTTTATTGGCATGGGAAACAGACGTTTACATTGCCAGAGCATGTGTGAAATAAAAACGTACATAGATAGAAGTCTCTTTTCTCTGGTGTAGCCTCGAGATGAAACTTAAAATTCCAAAACCAAATCCAAACTACTGTATGAAATCCAGCTGCTTTCCACCAATGGTAGGCATACAATGTGTAATCTTAGAAGAGGTGGAAAAAATCACAAACATGGAATAAAAAAAAACCTTTTTCTGTAGGCCTTTATTGTGAAATACTGACACATCCTTTCACAAGTGTGAAATGTAGGTGTGAAATTTGGCCCGCATGCATTTAACACTTTCCAGAGAAGACATTTTAACTGTTGTGAAATAGTTACATGAGCATTCAAATTCCAACTTTTTGAAGCAGTTAGGCCCCTGGGTAAACTGGCAATTTTTGTAAATACTGTGCATGGGCAAAGTGCTGCAAACCTAGTAGGTCTTTAGAATAGCTATAATGGGTTGCCTCGAGCAGGCAAATGGTGAACACAATAACGAATAATAGGCTATTTAAAAAGTCAAAAAGTTAGTAGTCAAAGGTTGGGCTATTGAATAGGTGCCTATTCAATGACAGTATTTTAAAGTGGGGTGAGAACACACAGACAAAATGCCTTTATTTCAGGTTCATGTTTGATGATGCTAGCAGAAGAGCTTTTCCTCCTGCCAAGAGGGTTGTGTTAAAATGAGAAGAACAGTGGGTTCCAGGGGGGTCACATGTGAACGTTACAGGAAATGGGGGGTGGGGAGGTGTAGGAGAAGAAGCAGATAAAACAAGGGGGACTGAACTGGTCATCAAAGTTGGAAAAAAAACCATTTGATCTTCTTTCTTTTTTTTCCCCCAGTCGCGCTACGTCGGATGCGCTCGGGTCCAGCCTGAGAGCGCGCACGCACCTCTCGTGGGGACTGAGGGAAAGAGAGAGAGAGACGTGTGATTTCTCTTTGTAGTGAATGAAGAGTTGAGGCCGGCTCCGTTACTGCTGCCGTCTCTTTTTATATAAGCAGAGTTTGCATGCTGTAAATAGCAAATTAAGCCGGTTTACACTTTACGTTTCACCATACCCGTCGGCACCTTTTGTTTTGTGGAAGCGACCGGCCACTGCCAATGTCCCTTTGAGCGATTTTGGACAACAAAAGCATCAGGTCCAGCGTTGTTTTTTCTTCGGGGGATTTCAAGTCACACGTTTATCAGTCGGGGTTTCTCAGTGCGGAAAAGCGAACAGCCGCACGTCCACATACCGCTTCACCTCCTCTCCGTCGCCCCTTTCACACTTCCACACCTCCGGGGGCGATTTTTATTTCTTCTTCTGCTCCCCAACTCGAGCGACCATGGCTGCTGTAACAAGCCCGGAGACGAGCCCTCAACCCCGGGTATATTTCCAGACGCCGGCCGGCACCACGGAGGAACCGGAGACACCCGTTCGGAAGCAGGGACGCGTGACCGTCAAATACGACCGTAAGGAGCTGAGGAAGAGACTGAACCTGGAGGAGTGGATTATCGACCAGCTAACGGACCTCTACGACTGTGAGGTAAAGACCCTAACAATAACCGGCCTCGAAACCGATCGAACTTATCGATCAGGCGGCTCTGCTAAGTAATAGGGCTCTACGGTAGGCTACAGCCCCGTAAGGCAGTTTGTCAGCTCTCGTGCTTGTCTGTCTGTCAAGCCCTAAAAAAAACTGTTGATAAAGAAACGTTAAGAGGCCCTTTGTCGCTGCTTTTGGCCTAGCCTCGCTTGTTCTACAGCACATATGTATCCGGGCCATATGCAAGTAGATGAGGTAATGAAAACGGGGAATTGAAGTGTGAACACAACAAGAAACAAAGAAATCATGTCCGGCATTTAAACCAGATAGACGCCTCGTGGTTAAACTTCAGATCCCACCCCACCCACTGGTAGGCTAAATGTAGCTGATGCACCTTTATGGCCTTGAAATAAGCAGCCTCCGCTCTGTGTTCTGATTGGCTGAAGCTGTTTTAAAGCACACCTGTGAATTACTTTACTATAATGGCTGACTGGAAATTACTACATTTGTCATATTTTTGTCATGCATTGTTTAGTTTCAGTTTGAGAGCTGATTTTGAGTGGAAAAATAAGTTTGGAGCATCAGTTTTAAATAGTAACAATTCAACATAGAAGTCAAGAGGAAAGACAGGGATGGGGCGTGTGGTTGGGACTCTTGGGACCCTTGTTGCAAGCCCACTCCGTCATTTCTTGTCTCTTTTTAAGTAAAGTTAAAGTAGGTTGTGGTGAGGGAGAAGTTTTCATCAAGACAAATGAGGTGATACTGACGGGTCTGTGTGGGGGGTCCAGTAATGCATTTTGTCAGGGTTGCCTTTAAAATGAACCCCCCTGGCTGTAATAATGACTGCGCATAAGCATTAGTGAAAGCTAACTTTAGATTCCTTCTGCACGATCACACATCAAACCCTTGGTCATGACACATGGAGAGCCATGCAGTTATAATGTAACCTGTGGCGGCAGCTGTGGTGTAGCTGCTGGCGTCAGTAGTTGGTAAGCTCATGTCAGCGCTACTGAGCTGGCATTGACCCACATTCTATTCCTAGCGTGAGGAGTACAACGACTTAACAGGTTTGGAGAATTCCTAGTAGGCTAAAAGAGGGAAAAGGCAGGTTGCTGGAAGCAAAATCACACACATTTACACCAGGTTAGGTTGGTCTGTAAAAGATAAACAGTTAGATTGTTTTGTTGTTAGAGAGTAAAACAAAAAAGCATGGGTTTTCACTCCTTGCGCTGACTTCCCGAGCACTTTCCTGCAACTTCCCATTCCTTTTCTCACAGCTTTCTACTTATTTTAAGCCTCTGCTGGCGCGCGCAGACTCACAAAGGGATGGGCTCAGTGTTGTAATAATGATGGAGTAGTTGTCTTATTACAACAACAGAGACTCTTTAGGAGGTCTGGCTGTCTCCAGATTTACACCTGGGAGTCCTAAATCCAGTCTACCAGTGACCAACTGTAACTAATTGTAATCAGATATTATCTCAAGCCACAGTTAAACAAGAGTTTAAATGCGCTCAAGGAAGGTTGAAATTGCATACTTCTCTTATCATCTGGTGTGAAAACCAGATTGCTCTCTATTTAGCATTTGTGTTTGTATCCTCCTTTCCCTGAGATTTTAATAGCACTTACAGGGATATCCCGCGAGATGAGGATAATAATAAAGTAGCAGGGATACTACAGAGACACATGCCAGCAGAGCTGATTAAATGGCCTGGAGAGGATTTTAAAATCAATGCGCTTTAATTGTCTGCCAATGATGGATTAATATGCCATGCATTAAAAATCTTGCAGAGCAACAGAAGTATGAGTAAAACAGTTCAGGAGAAAATCTAGCACGACTTTTCACCAGATGACAATCAAAGTGTTTTTGAAAATACAAATCTTTTCAGAATCTGTTTGGGATAAGAAGGATCTTATATTTAATTCATTTTGTGCCCCAGGACCCCAGTGATTGAAGGCAGACAGCGTACACTTTCAAGGATAAATATTCCTCTTTCTCAGTTTAGATTGATTTGTTCATTGAGTAATCACTTCAGTCTTCCAGTCATGAAGGCTTTAATACACTGCGACTGTTAGTCTGCTTTTCAACTGAGCAAACAGGGTCACCAAGAGTCCAAAAAGCCTCACAAAGAGGTGTGGCAATGACACTGAGGCTTGGATCGTCGTGATTTATTATTGCCATGTCACAGGTATATCAAATTATACTCATGTAAATGGGATATAATTGATTAATTTCACATTTTTGGACACCCTTTTCTCATGCATCGCTAGCAGAGATGCCCAGTTATTTTATCTTTCATCCAGAGAGGTTTCCCCCCTTTACGTTGTCCTGATCCGGTCTCTGCCTAGACTGTTAGACAACAAAGAGATTCATTTACAGCCGGTTCACTGATGGAGACACATTGGGCTCATTTAGACTGAGAAATGTGGAGCACGTGCTGCTGAACAGTGAAACTGGAGAGGCAGCTTGAGCCGGTCAGGGAGCAGAGAGGGTATTGGGAGAACCCTGTTCACTGACAAAACGATATGGAGCACGTGGTCTGGGATTTCACTTGTTTTTTGGTTTTTTTCCCCCTTTCACCTTGGTAAATCCTTCACGTTTCCCTTCCTTTCTTGTTGTCTGTCTTTTTGTTCTGACTCATGTCATAATCCATATCTAAATTTTCCACTCTTCATTATCTCCTGTTATTTCTCTCCTTTCTTGGATGCATATTTCTACTATTAATAAAACCGCATGGAGTTTGTTCAAGAGGGAATTCATAATGAGCTTTTTCCCCCCATTCATATAATCCCTTTAAACATGCTACAAGCAGTCAACTAGTCATTTCTGGCAGCTAGCTTGTCAGATTTTCATCCAGCCACTTAGTCAGCCCATCAGTCAGAGATGCCGTGGGTTATAGCGAGGAGCCGAGCCTTAGTAATATTCCATGGCAACAGAGCTTGTTAAATGTTTATGTTGGTTAACCGTGCATTGGGGAAATAAAACGTTGCGTCCATTTAGCAAAAGATGGACACAATCAATTCTTTTACTTTGCTATTTCTTAAAGACATATATACACACAAACAAGATATACGCAGTGCAATACGACTGGATAAAAAGTATTGGATAAAAGGTTGAAATATCTAGCTTCTGCAACTTGAAGTACGAATACAAGCTTAACCAAAGTAACCTAAACACTGATAGTGTAATTATAGTGTCATGTGAAGGGGTTACTTGAGTTCATGTGAGAGGGCTGTGGGGGTACATCTGAAAATAAAACAGTTGGGCTTGCATTGCAATAAGCCTCTAAATCCCACAATTCCCGCCATTTCACAGTTTATATCCTAAACCCAACTGTAAACTGTTTTAGTTTAAAAAAGAAACATAAACACTAAACTGGTAGGAAATGTTCGGATTTAAAGGGGTTATTGGGCACAAAACAAAATCAGGGAGTGTTCCTCCGAGGATAAATTGTGTACACTTTCTCTGTAGTTATTAAGCTTCCTCTCTATTGCTGGCTTTGTATATAAGGTGCTTAGTGAGTTTGAACTGACTTGTGGGGAAAAGGAAAGTGGGGGTTACAATCATCGAGTCCACATCTCCACTGATCAAATTTCCATCCAGCCATGGTATCATTTCCATGGCAACTGTGCTGTTAAATGTTTATTCGTCGGTAGAGACTTATTTTCTCTCCATTTGCTGTTTTCTGCTCACCAAAGCTGACCAGTAGCTACACAGTTAACAGTGGAGCAAGTGGGCGGACCGATCCCCAAACTCCAGGGTCCTACGTGGCCACACACACACACACACACAGATACACATACACACATAAACACACACACGCATAAACACAGATGGGGATACGAGTGAGAACAGAGGCAGGATTCGTGAGCAGGAATGCAATAAACGGGGGAAGAGAAGGGAAACAAACTAGAGGGGATGGCATGAGGAAAAAGTAGTAGGAGTAGGCAGGGATGTCAGAGAAGGAGAAAGTGTGTTTGTAACATGTGTCCGCTGCTATTACTCGCTATACGTGTGTATAGCAAATCATATAAGGGCAGTGACTAAAGTTCCCTTGTTTATCTGCTGTATCAGTTGATCAGGCACTGAAAACAGTCCAGTGACTTTTGAATAAATGAACAAAAATACTTTTTTCTCATACAAATGCATATTAATGAACAGGAGGAGGAGGTTAGTAAATGGATTATTCCTTAGCTTTGTTGCCTCAATTTCACCCCGAGTCTGTTTTGGTTTGCTGTGGTCTCAAGCAACAGACAAATAAAGAAGTGATGGTTACAGCCAGGTCAGTTAAAGCACAACATGCGTCCTGGTGTTGTATGTCTGTGCAAATAAGTGTGTGTAAGGGGAAGCCTAACTGTTGGAACAGCTGTAATTCATAGCTACCAGTCATGGATTAAGCCTCCTTTAATGGCTTCACACTGTAAAGCAACACATGCACAAAAGGAGGAGGCAATATTTGCTTAAACCTTAAACTTCAAGGTCTGAATACCAATCAGTATTACCCTGTTTCACTCAGTGAGTGTAAGAGGGTGACTACAAAGAGTGGTTGTTACACTGCGGGAGTGAAAGACTCCAGTGTGTCTTTGTAAACACCCCCCCCCACACACACACACACACACACATCAGCACACACAGAGACACATTCGCACACGTACATGGACACACACACAGGGTGATAATAGGTCACATGTGGTTCCACATGTTTAACACACAGTTCTTTTTCTTGTTTGATTGGCGGTGAGTCAGTATGTACCGTAGCCTGACCCACTGACTGACTATGTGAGCTTTTTTAAGAGACTCAGTGAGTAAAATCAACCAAGTTAAGCTAAGTGTGTGTTTTGGTCAGTGTGCGAGTAAGATCGGAAGGAAGTAAAAGATGCCAAGCAAGAGATGAAGAAAGAGAGGGATGTAGAGAGAGTGAGAGAGAGAAAGAGAGAGAGAGGGAGAATGAGGGATGTGAGTCAGTCAGGGGAATGTTAATGTATGTTGTTACAGGAAGTGTGTG